AGATTATGTAAGCAACTTTGGCCGAGTTGGTCTAAGGCGCCAGACTCAAGAGAAATTACCTCTTCACTGAATACAGTGAGCATTCTGGTCACGAAAGTGGCGTGGGTTCGAATCCCACAGGTTGCATATCTTTTTCTTTTTCGCCTAGTCATTATGATTGGCTTTTACATTTTTGATTTCTGGGGCAGAGGGGCAACCTTGGAACATTAGAAAATAATCCTCTGTGCCTGGAATGTTATAATTTGTTCGATCATGTGGGGCGACTTGTTGAATCTTAACTTTTATATTTTTTTTTTCGAATCTCAATTCTCCAAGTCTCTCTAGATTTCTTCAAATCTCCATTTGTCACCTTTTTCACTTTTGTCGCCTATCTGGCTCCCTCATCTCGTCTTACGGGCTGTTTGCTACGGCAAGGGAAGCTCAAGCTGCCCACTATGGCCCTCATGAACGTCGACCAAGTATCCCCATCCAAACCGGTTGAGAAAACTCCCGATGTACTCGTGACTCCATGTGATCCATGGCCTGCACCTTACTATTTGGATGGTGGTTTCCGTCGTGTCACGCCATACCATTTCACCTATAACACCAATTGCAAGGAGCGATGGCGGGGTCGCCAGTTAGTGGAGATCTTCACTTCCGAGTTTCGCGATCGGAAGCCAGAATACTATGTACGTGAATGCGTGGAGACGTGGACCTCCAGATGTAGGAGAATCGCAAACTGACAATTACCAGAGGAAAGCCCTAGAGGATGGCCTTGTACAGGTTAACGGCGTGACAGCCCGCCCCGAAACGACGCTTAAAAACGGCCAGGTCATCTCACACACCCTCCACCGCCACGAACCGCCCGTTACAAGCCTTCCTGTTGGAATCATTTACGAAGATGATGACCTCCTGGTCATTGATAAGCCTGCTGGTGTACCAGTGCATGCTGCGGGGCGCTACAACTTCAACACGGTCATCCAAATTCTGCGCTCCGAGCGCGGCTCCGAGTGGTTACCTCGCCCATGCAACCGACTTGACCGATTGACCTCTGGAATCATGTTCATTGGAAAGCACGCCAAGGGCGCCGAGAAAATGGCCACCGCGCTCAAGGCCCGCTCCGTACAGAAAGAGTATGTCGCGCGCGTGAAGGGCAGGTTCCCAGACGGCGTCGTTGTCTGCGACCAGCCAATCATGCAAGTTAGCCCGAAGCTGGGTCTCAACCGCGTGCGCGCCACCGGCAAAGAAGCGACAACCAAGTTCCGTCGCTTGGCTTACTACCCTCCCGAGTCAGCAAAGGAGACCGAGTCATCTAGCGACGACGAGCGTCCGGCTACCCCGCCCGCGTCATTCGCCAACGAGACCGAGGGCTACAGTATCGTGCACTGTTTCCCGCTGACAGGCCGTACCCACCAAATTCGCGTGCACCTCCAGTTCTTAGGCCACCCGATCAGCAACGACCCTATCTATTCCAACCGCCGTGTGTTCGGGCCTGAGCTTGGCAAGGCCGAGGCGAGCGCAGAGCGCGATGAAGAGATCGTTGCGCGGCTGTCTCTCATGGGTAAGACCGAGATACCCGACACGGTCTCGTACCGCACACACCTGACCGCGGCGCCGGATGTCCCGCCGAACACCGACCCGGTGCTTGTCAACGAGATCATGCACCGCGAGCAGATGGCTGCAGCTGAGGACTACGCCAAGCGCAAGGGCGAGCGTCTGTCCGGCGACCTCTGTGAAGTCTGTGGCACAGAGCTGTACTCGGACCCGGGTCCCCATGAGCTGGGTATTTTCTTGCATGCTGTTGCGTATGCCGACCGAGACGGTGATTGGGCTTACCGCAGCCCCATGCCTCGCTGGGGCTTGCCTCCTGCGGGCATGGAGGGTCCCCATGAGTGTCCGGACTGGGTTCCTGCTGCTGAAGGCGAGGAAATTGTCGTCGGCCACGGGACTATTCCGGCTGGCTTGGGTGACGATGACCATGCTGCGGATGCAAGCACTGGCTCTGTGCTTCTTGAAGGCGTTGGTCTCGTTAATATCTCCGAGGCTGCGAGGAGGAACGAGTCTCCCCGCGAAACCACAGAGGCAGCTGCTACGAACTAATGATGTTGTTCTTTAGGGTTCCTTTCTTGAAAATACCTTCTACCTATATCATATTTCTCGGAATTTGTCTTCATGATACCACTCTGCCGACTTACCATGGAAAGTTCACCAGCACAGCGTCTTGGTCTTGGTCTTGGTCTTGGTCTTCCTAGCATATAGATTTGCTGCTTTGAGAAATCTTATAGAGATATGTGCAATCTATCAAAATTTATTCGTTTAGCACACCACTTGTAAACCTGGGGTCTATGTATGTGTTATATCGGCCCGAGACTTAGTCCAAATCGCTGTATCTTTTGAACTTTCGGCTGGATACTTCGCTGAAGATCCTGTGGGCGTGATTGGGAATGGCTAGCCATTCCATTCCATATATATAGAAATTAGCACTTTGGGGCGAAAACTGGTCACTTCTTCCTTTTCAACCGAGATCTCACCCTCTCAAAATGCCACTGACAAAGAAACCTCGAAGCCCATGCTAATCCCGAATGGGAAGCGTTCGGACCGTTCCTCTAAAGAGCAGCCAGATTCCCCAGAAAAGACTTCTCTAAATTGTTCCTGTTCCCCTCACAGACTAGAGCTCGACATGACAAGGCCCAAGATCCCATACAACACACCATCCACTTCCAAACAAGCAGCCAGTTCATGTATAATTCTTTACCAATTCCGCTTTCCAGCCAACGCTATAAATGCCGCTATCTTCAATAATGCAAAACCGAACCAGACCAAAAGTTAACGCTCAACGCTAAACGCCTCGTAATGTATCCCAACGATAAAACAGACGCAACAACTAGAACTCCAAAATCTAGCTGGTCACCCATGTCACCTTCTCACACTGCTTCATCCGCTCTAACGCAGCATCAACCCGCCACAGCATCGTCCCTGACTGGGTGCCTGGCTGGGGTTTCCCGCGCAAGACCGCATTGGACGTCGTGCAGCGCCAGTCCGCCGTCAGGCGGTACTGGATGCACTCTGGATCTGCGGCGCAGTAGTCTGCGCAGGCGGCGAAAGAAGTGGGTGTCTTTGGACCCTTGTAATCTTCCTTGTCGTCGCCTGCACTCGCGAAGTTGTCCCAGTTGTCTAGGTGGTCTGCGAGGGTTGGACGGATGAGGTTGCGAAAGATGTCACTGTATATGAGGACATTTGAGTTTGTCTGTGGTTCGTCAGTGATGTATTCACATATTCCAAAGAGATGGACATCCCAATATCCTAATATGGGTATCGAAAAAGGGGAAAAAGGGAAAAAAGAAAGGAAAACAACTCACATCCGCAAACCACTCCTGCTCGAATTCCCACAACCGATCCACATCCGCCGGCGTCATATGGTGGAAAGTAAAAGGCGCAAAACACCAAGGCATCTTCGCAAAAGCCTCATGCAACATATCCTGTTCCCAAACCGACTGAGTAGTAACATGCGGCCAAGACCAAGTAAGCCCAATACCAGCCGCAGCAAGCGCCATCCCAAGCACACAATCCCCAGCCCATTCCCGATTCGTGATCTCATCCCACTCATCAATATGCAACTTATGATAATCCGCGACAGCATGAATAGCCGCATTCGAAAGCACAAAGCCCGACCCACCATGCGCAAACAAAGTCGACCCAATCTGCATCTGATTCCCCAGATACAGCTTCTCCTCGTGATTGAAATGCGCCAGCCACCCGAGCAGATTCGGCCAGATCGGATACGTGTCTGCTTCGAGGAAGACGAACCACTTGGCGTCTGGCTTTTCGCGCCGCGCTGTATGGATCATCGGGAGGAACTTCCACTTATCCAGTTTCCAGCCTGGGTTGTCCATCATCCCGGACGGGCCGTTGGCGACTTTCGTGTGGTCTTGTGAGGTTAGGGCTGTGTGGCCGCCTGTGCGGGCGCGGTTGTACAGGGCGAAGTCTTGGTTCGTTTCTTTGAGGGTGTCGGAGACGTTGAGGAAGACATCGTGCGTGCGTGTACCGGCTATGTCTTCTTCGAAGTCTGAGACGATTATCTTGTGCGGAACGCAGCGGAGGGTCGTTCTTAGGTGCACGGGAACTTTATCTTGTGCTTCTGTGATGCCTGTCTTCATTACTACCAGCACCGAGTCCATTCCTGTGTCTGTTGGACAGGACAATGGTACATGGTCGGTTATTTGGTCGGTCTCGTTGTGTGTATTATCAATCGTTAGCCCGGAGGCGGGTTCGATCACGTCCTCCGTGGTCTTTGAGCCGAAACCGGCGTGGGTGAACTGCAGTATCAAGAGTATCAGGATTACTGGCCCCAAAATGAGTACCCAGCGACCATATCGGGGTGGAACGGAATGCATTTTGGGGAAAATTGGGGTCCCTAGCACTCTAGAGGTAGAGAGGAAGAGAATTGAAGAAAGGGGTTTCAATGGATATAGAAGGATCCATCGGTCTCCATATCCAGATGGAGACCTAAATATAAAACACAAAAGTCGAGAGATCTTCAGGAGGGTCTCAAGTTCTTAAGTGACGGGCGCGTGGGGGCTGATCGAGGCTGCCTATGTACATCATAGGTTACATCCAAACCAGAGCTATTGTGGTACTATTATTCTCCAGGATTAAGCGGACTTGAGACATTCCGGATAATAGATGCTATATGTGATATCCTGTCATGGTTCTATCCTGATCCTGTGCTCCTATGTCGTGCTATGTTGTCTCGGAGCTTCAGGGTTTTGCCCGTTGCGTACGTCACCACAGGTGGGTCCGATGATCTGAAACGTGTGATAAGTGATCGACTATGCTGTATATGTAAAGGGGTTTCACGTTGGGCATATATGTTAATATGTTGTAGAGTAGTATAAGAAAGTTTAGTTGCTTTTAGGGTTAGGTTGTCTTGGACCATCGGACTACCCCGGATGTATACTGGATATGTACCAACTACATGTACAAGGCCAGATTAAAATCTGCCATTAATTAAAATGTCTTGGACCAAAAGGGATTTTTGCAATTTTTGTTGTCATTTCAGAGAACAATTCTCTCGCTTCACAGCGCCCGGCACTATGACAAGGCCCGAGCCGGACATGCCATGCACAATCCTTAAATTTCGTTATCGCCAGAGAGGTAGTATCGCCATACAATACCCCGACCTCGTGCACCTATCCCAACTGAAAGGAAACAAACTGGGTTTATTCCATTTATGCCTCGGTGGTGACACGGCCCTTGGGGTTAGTGACCTTAACACCGAGAGCCTTGGCCTTCTCGATAATCTCGACACGCTTGCGGGAGGAAACGGCGTGGCCGATCCTGTAAAACTTGTTAGCAAGAGAAATATATGAAAAGCGATATTGATCGCTCCGAGGTGGCGCAAGACGTACTCAGCAGCGAAGGTGCGGTTGTGCATGAGGAGGAGCTCAACGTCCTTGGCGTTCTGGACGAGGAAAGCCTTGTGGCCGGAGGGCATCATGTGGCGGGTCTTCTTGTTGGAACCGTAACCGATGGAGGGCATGGCCATCTGGCCCTTGAAACGGCGACGAACGCAGTTGTCAATACCCTTGGGCTTGCGCCACGAGGCGCCAACGCGCATGAACCGGTCAGACTGGTGACGGTTGAAGCGGTGCGTGCCTAATTGCGGTCGATGTCAGTCCTCCGATCGTGAATATAGAGAATCCGTGCCCTTTTCAGCCTTCACGGCCCTGCGGATAATGTTGCCCTGCGATTCAAGACTGATGTTGGCTGTTCCTTTCCACGGCAATCCTGCAATGTTTTTCTCTTCGTTTGGTGCATCTTCGTGTTTCATTTGGTCGACGATCGAAGGGCGGGAGTATCCAAGGCACGGGCATCAAAAGGAATGGAACAGGTGATCGGGAACATACGCTTCTTCACGATAGGGATGTGCTGCTTAGCGGCGGCCATCTAGAATCAAAATTAGTGACTGAATCAAATAGGATGCGCATTTTGTTGACTGACCTTGTCGGTATTGCTGGGTCTCGCCGGGCGTTCGAGAGTTGTCGGGTCGGAGTTCAATCTCGAAAACTTCTCTCTCAGGTTCTCCCGCCGCAGAGTGGGAGACCCACACTAGTGCGCTTTGGGCGAGCTAAGCGAAACCAGATTACTTATGTCAGCTTAGGGCTTCTCTAGCCCTAGCCCTATTATTCCTCTTTGGGCAATATCTGGAGATGTTCTATACAACTGTACGGAGTACATGGTCCATGATGGTCTCTCCTATCTTTCTTATGCTGCGCGTTCATCCTAGTATTTCAATATATTTGATCATTTTATATGCCATTTGTCTTCTGGAATAATTCCTATGTAGTATTTAATTAATATCACTGCAAATGCAGCTGAACCTTCTCACCATCTTTCTCGCCACTCCGCAACATCTGCTCCAAGATCTCCAGATCTGCCAATGCTTCCTCGGGAGACTGTCTATTGTCAGGTTTTCCACTCACAATTGAGTTTGCAAACTCCGCCACCTCTGGCACAACACCCTTGCCATCAAACTCAACATGGTGCTTCTCGCCGTTGACTATCACATCATCGAAGTTCAAGGTGACAACACCTTTCTCGCAAGCAAACTCGAAAATCTGGTTATTAAAGGACGATCCCCACGACAAGGAGATAACGCCCGTAGCACCAGACTCAGTCTTCGCGACGGCATCCACTGTATCAACCGGTGGCAGGAATGATTGCTGCAGCTGCGACTGCGCCGACAGAATACTAAGGCGCTCCGTGGGACCTAGAATCAGGCGCAACGCAGCAGTCATGTGCACACCACCGTCCAAAAGGAATCCGCCCTGGTACTCAGGAGTCTTGCGCCAGGCGGTATCTAGTTTAAATATAGTCAGTCTCCGTAAGAGCCTGCATGTAGAGCCTCAACCGGGATGGAACGTACGGAAGTACTTGTTTCCTTTATCCATCAGGCTGTGAACGTTCACCCGGAAGTTCTGGACCTTGCCCAGCTTTTGGACTTGCTCGGCCGCGAAGAGGAACTTCGTCATATAACGGAAGTTCTCGGCGACGGCCCAGAAGACCTTGCTGGTATCGATATTACTCTTGTACCATTTCAAAAGTTCCTGGGCAGTGGCAACATCCTTAGCGATGGGCTTCTCGGACAAGACGTGCTTGCCAGCGAGCAGTGCTTTCCGAATGAACTCCGGCTGAACCAGAATAGGAAGGCTGTTGGAGTCGAGAGTTAGTTTTTCGCCCATCTAGTGGAACCAGAGGAAGGGGAGTGATCCCGTACGCAATGACCACAGCACCGATATCTGACCGAGCCAGTAGGTCGATATAGGACTTGCCAGAGCCTGAGTCTTCAGAGTAGAGATCAACTTCGGACGTGCCGCTGGCGAGCTCCCGGGCTGACTTCAAGGAGCGAGAATAGATGGCCTTAAGTTGGAAGTTTGAGGCAGCTTGGACTGCGGGCTGCGTGACTAGTTAGTCAAGCAAATTATATAGAAGATGGTACCATTAGAGAGTTCATCATACTAGGTGCTGCTCTTTCGCAAAGAGGCCTGTTGAATATTAGCCAATACACGCAGCATAAAGTGTATAGGAGAAGTATGTACCACTGCCGATGATGGCCACGCCGATAGACATGATTAATTGTGTAGAGAGTGATAGATTCGAGATGAAATATCGAACGATTTTACTTTTCCCGTACTTCTGGTGCTATTAAAGGAAGTTTAACAGTGGAGTACGTTGGACCTTGGAATATCCCAAAGCCACTTGAAAACTGCGGGAAGGTCCAACCTCGAGGCACCTCATTTGCTGGTCGGCTGCATTGCCTATTATGTTAATTCTTGGTCGGATACTCCGTATCTTATTTTGCTTTTGTCGGTAGGATAGTTTGGGACTAGTTTTATGTAGTATGTTATGAGATACCCAGGTGTAGACGTTTCCTTACATCTTCAGGTGTGCAGACGAGGTAACACGGAGCCTCCGTGATAGATGGGGTCATAATCCAAGAATTCCTCCAATTATGTCGGCAAAAACGACCTCGATAACCAGATACAAAAAAGTCAATCTGAACTGTACACTCCATAACCCATCCAATTGCGCCCAAAATATCAAAACGGAATCCAAAACCCCCCAAATCCTACCAAATAGAACGCCCAATCATTTCCATCGTCAAATAATCCAATCGTACCAGTCATAACAAAGGAGACACCCACATGCCAGCCAAAAGCCTTCTAAGGTTCCAAGGTTGAAACGCATCATTGATTATTAACCAAAGCCCTCAACCGTTCCACACGCGCTATAGCCTTCTCCAACCTCTCCAGTCGACTGCGCTTCTCAACGTCCCTCCTCTCCAGCACAGCAACTCTCTCCTCAAGCTTCGCACGAGCCTTCCGCTCCTCTGCGACCATTTCATTCGCCTGACTGAAGAGCTGCACAGTCAACTCCTCTAGCTCGGTACTCGCCTGCGAAAGCTGCGACTCGGCAGCCTCGCGCAGTCTCTGTTCGCGCGTAAGCGCATTCTGCAGTTCGGCGGTGTGCTCGCTGTTCGCTGGGGACATATGTGGTAGAGGGGTCGTCAGAGTAGTCGGGGTAGTTGGGAGGGGAGCGCCGCTGGATGCTGCGGGTGCGCTTGCTGGGGTTGCGCTCCCGCGTCGGTAGGGGAGGAGGGAGGCTAGGTTCGTGAGGCGGCTGTGGTATGTTTGTGGTTGGGGTTGGGATTCTGAGGATGTTGGGCGCTGCGGTGATGAATGGTCGGTTTGCGAGGGGGGTCTACCCAGTGAGGAGCTGCTTCGTGGGGTGTGGTAGGATCCCTGGGGTTGGGAGGAGCGTAGACGTCGGACTTCTTCTTCGTACTCGCTGAGTTTAACGGCTGTTAGAGATCGGGTTAGCGGGCGGGTTCTTCTTCTATAGGTTGGGTTGGAAGAAGGGCAAGGGAACAGAAAAAAAGAGGAAGCATGTTCTGTATTCTCTGTAGACGCGCGATCACGTTCACGCTACGCTTGTATATGTAGTCTGCAGAGATAATGCCCGGGCGAAGGCTTACCTGTAGCCGAAGCGCGGGCTGTCAACGCATGCACCTGCCCCTCCAGCTCCCTGATTCTGTCGTGGGCGCCAGAGCCATCGGGAAATTCGTCACCCCAACACATAGGGCATTGTTTTTCTGATATAGCGACACCCTTCATGGCCGGTGCGACAAGAGTGGTAGTGAAGGATGTTGTGGTAGTCGACATGACAACATGGGGTTTACCCCGGGATTGTCAGTGTTTAATTTGTTTTATTAAACTAGGCGTACTAAGGTTGCAACGGTCATTCGATGGGGTTTGACGAGGGTTTAAGAAGTACCCAAGTACTAACAGAAAAGAAAAAGAAGAAAAAGAAATTTAAAAGGCTGAAAATCATAAGAATCCCTGGCCCTTTGAAGGGGTTTCAATTAATTCCATACCGGCCACTTCAATTTCTTGGCCAGTTGTATCTCCTTGGTCCCTGAAAGATCTCATAGAATATTAGAATGGATGTAAACAGAGATACATTCAAAATATGTTCAGAATAATAGTTTAGTTGGACAGTGTATAGTTATACTCAACTTCATATGTTGTACATCTCACACCTCACACCCTCGTTGCATTAATCTGCCACGTTCGACCCGTTTGAGACTAGTGGATCCTATTAATATACCCTTGCTTCCAAGTTTGATCCAATAACCTCGGCGAAATCTGAACTATTTATGTCTTGGATTTCGATACTATTACTACTAAAATTAGATATAATAATGTATTCCGTACAGATGTACGGAATAATTAGGGGTGACGATGAAAAGGCCACGATTGTGCGTGGCTTTTGGAGGGAGAATCGTGGTCTTTTCACCTAACACTTTGGACACCACGGCGACAGCCAAATTAGGCTCAGCGTAAATTCCATTAATACGTGTACATACACAAGTACACCCAGCGCGTAAAATCGAGTCTAGAGGTCGGCTCACCCTCCGGATTAAGTTCGGCTCATCCTTCTTAACCCCGAGGGTCACATGACAGAGACCTTAGCTCACCCTTCCCCACCGCCCATCTCTTAATCTTACACACTTATTTACAGTGGCGTTTCATGAGTATTTGCACCCCAGTACTTCCAAAATTGACCGCTCTTTCTATACCGCCTGCTTATTACGGCTAGTATAGACCCTGCGCAGCGCGAATATGAAGTTTTGACCAGCAGAAAAGAAGTGGGACTCGGGCCTTCCAGAGTACTGGGGTGCAAATACCCATGAAACATGAGTGGTATATGAGTACAGCCACTCAAATTTTCTCGCGATCTTATGTCACTACCGTATACGCAACCCTTGAAGGCCTTATACAGACTCTTACCATACTTAAAACTAGTTCAAAACCGGTTTGTAACTAGCTTCGGAGTATTTAGTATAGGACGCGACCTTGAGAATATCAAGGAATAGGTGCGATTATACTTTAAAAGTTATACTAGGGCTCCTTACTATTTACCTATTGCCTCTCGCTACACAGAGATTATCCTGTATTTACCTCTTTTGCATTCACGATAGAACCAATTCATCAAGAAACTGCCTCACTAGCCAATACTGTAATAGCTTGCTATGACAGTATCTCCCTAAGCCAGTTCGTGGGGTTGTGTGTTGAAAAGCGCTTCTATACCTAATCATGACTAGACCCTGTAAATCGCCCCCACTTTATAAAGCTTGGCGCTCCGCTCGCCGTGAAATAGGTATATAATTATTCGTTGCTCTTTCCTTTCCCTTCCGCATCCTCCCACCCAAGTTGAACTCGTTGGCTGAAACTCCCATACTTTCAAGCTTCCATGTTCCATTGCTAGAGGTACCTGCTCGCAAGAATCGTCGTGACACTTCCTTCCAGACAGAGTGACTTCGATAGAAGTGTCACGATGCCCGATTCCTCCGCCGCCTGGTAGGGACTAAAGTCACAACCTTTTATGACTTCGACCCCCTGCAACAGTCGTCTGCTGTCTCTTCCTCCGCGTCGGCCATCTCTCCCTCTGCGCCCCCCCAGGGATCGGCCGCTCGTGGATCGTCACAGAAAAGCTCTCAGAGAGGGCTGTTCATCTCACACAGGAAGATGTCGAAATGGGCGTTGGGTCTCCTATGACAGTTGGCAAATTTCTGTGCCACCTAGAGGACCCGACGCAGATAGCGTTTATGCGAATATATTATCAGATTCCTATCACTAGGACGGAGGACGCTAATCTGGCTACACTAGCCCAACAGATCCAACCTCATGAGGTGTGTGGTGAACTAGAGGCGTTTAGGCTATTGATGAGTCAAGGCTGTAGCTCTGTTCCACGTTTCCTTGGTTACTGTGAAAAAACGCAAGGGGAACATGATCTCGTTCCTGGTGGCTATGTCAAATACCTCGTATGGGAAAAGGTGCCTGGGGAGCCTCTTACAGAGGAATTTTTCTGGAGCTTGGATCCCCTTGTACGAGAGGATATCCGTGCCAAATTTCGTGTTGCCTTTGAGTCAGTTTACGCAAACCCAAGATGGCAGGTAGACAAAACGCTAATACAATTAACAGGGAGATGCTGCGTTGCAGTGTAAAACACAGGAGTCTAGAATCTCGAAGACCATCTATGATCAGTCCACTGGCAATGTGTACGTCAAGGATTCTACATATATTGGGGATGTTTAGTAATGAGTTGAGTCGCATTTCGGGGTTTCGAAGGGGATGGCCAATCCGTGATAAACTTCAATGGTCAGACACCCGTTATGTCGCGTACATGCTGGCTAAGCGACCCGACGAGAGGGACTGGCGTTCTCGCCCGGAGGAATGGGAGTAATGAAAGGTTAGCAATGTTGCAATTAGTGAGTATCAGATTGAGCTTAAATTGCCACTCTCCGTCAAAAGTGTTATGCAAGTCGAATGTTCCATTTATTTTTGGGTGTTGTGGTTCCTACCTAGAAATTGAGAGGGGTTCCACTGGATCTTTTGAAGTCATATTGTACGGTCGTTGGCTCAAACCAATTTTGCTTTTTAGCTGAATTTAATCCTGATTGAGACTCCATAATGAGCACGAGCCGGATGTCAAATCATTTGCCAAGAATGCACAAGACTCCAAATGCGACGACCTGGACGTACATGGGAGGACCGATTCGACGATAGGAACAAACAGGGTCGAATCGGTATGATAACAGAAGGCGATCCTTATCGCACATTTTCTCTTCCTTTCTCTTCCCCAGTCTTGATACCTTCGTTGAATGCACAGGTAGATTTCGAACTGTCCTCTTTGCTCGTAACACCAAACTAGTGTTTAATCTCAGAATCTTATAGCTATTGACGAGAAGTGATCACTAGCTACCTACACCGCAACCACTCATGAGCAAACAGTGAACTTATTGCTATTCAATTCCGTATATCGACGAGCTTGCTAGTGGTCTCGAAATTCCTGGATCATAAATCTAATTAAGGTAAAGATAGTTATGGCGCGAAATTCGGGTGTTCGCTCGATACTCCGTTAGGCGAAAAATAGCTACATGTCCCTTGGTGTAATCCAAGGTATGATTCTCGTCATTTACGAGGTACCTAAGAGAAATTAGCCATCTTCTCGCCTATTGTGGTCTGCGTCTTCATCTTAACGCACGCATTGCCTTTTCCGGGATGTCGCACTGGACCGAATAGTTCGTCCTTGTAGCAGCACTGCAGCATCACCATTTTGACGAAAATAAAGACGCCGTGCCAAGCGAGGGCAAGAATTAATGTCCTCGATAGCTAGAATTGGTATCATATATTGTTCAGCTACCACCAAATACGCGGAAAGACCGTCGGGACCCGATTTCATCCTCTACTCCCGAAAAGAGCCATTCTATTTCATGTTGTCCCATTCCACCTAATCTTGGAGCAAATAAAAAACAAAAACGCTCTTTTCAGACGGTATAGATGTAAAGATAGGGTAATGGTCTAGCCAAAGTTTCTACATTGTGCAGTGCAAGTTAAAGAGGAGATACATTTAGCCAGAAATCAGGAACTATGAACGTTTTTTATAGGACTAGATCACATCGCCGTTCCGTATCAGGGGCCAGATCTACGGTGACTGGGTCGAAAATGGGATTCTTAGCAAGTTAAGGGGAATGGCGAATAGGAAGTGGCCTGGCCAGAAAGAGATTGAGAGAGGATGGCTCAGAGAGCAGAAAGAGTAAAAGAGATAGAGACTAGAGAGAGAGAGAGATCAGATTGAATTCAAAGGGGATGCTTCTGGCTTATGTTGTGTCAATCTAGCCTGGTAATGTCTGGGAGAGCGAAGTCCTCGATTGGCTTTGAAACGGTGAAGTTGCGTATAGATTCTTGAAATGAAAAGAGGATTCTACATAAGGGAGCATTCTAGCAGCTAGAGTAATAGTCGCGACTAAGATACGGATGCAGACAGCGCTAAGTCAAGGAGAAATTCCCAACTATATTGACTCTTTCGGGTTCATTATCCAACTCATTTCGTCGTAATATGGATTTTATTCAACTGGTGGGTGCCTCGTTAGAGTCGCTTCCCACGTCGCCTCGTGCTGAGATACGCGCTTTTTCTTAGGTGGTCAACATATGTCCCAACTGACTGACACCGACCTCCTGCATCGTCTTCACTCTCTCCCTGCTTGACATAGCCCTGCTCTTAGCATTCAAGCTAAGCTCTCACTGCTCACTCAGGATGTTGCTAATAGCCTCCATTGTCAAGAAAAACAGATCTCTCGAAATGCCTCGTCCCGCGCTTCATATCGGCCCGAAGAAGTTAGTCGAGTCCCCGGCGCCGAAGCTCGAACCCGGCCTATACCGTACACAATCAAGCGCCCTACACGATCTCGAGTTTACTGGTGACCTTCAGCCATGGCCGGGCTTTTTGAGTGCTGTGCGGACCACACACCAGAACCATACCTGGCGCAATGAGGTCCTAGACCTGCCACTTCAGACACGAGACCCCTATACTCACGGAAACGTCGAGGTTGGGGACGAACATGGTGTCCAAGACCGGTTCCACAAATACTTCGGCGACGTGCTTAACTCTATTTTCACATCACAGTCAAAGGGAATACGCTTTGCAGATTTCAAATGCGTACAGTCTACTTTCGCCGGCACGCCTGATGTGATCTTGAAGGATGATAATCACGTTTTGAATGTCGCTGGGGAGCTCAAGGTACCGTGGGTTCGCAAGAACTTCCTGGACGATAAGCTCGACGACGACGACGAGCTGAGGAACATATTCGCTCAGCCAATCATGTACATGCAGAAGCTAGGCTGTGTGTATGGATTGCTCAGCAACTACAAAGAGACGATCTTCCTAAGACAGCTCGTTAATAACCAAGGCATATGGAGGGTCGAGTATTCTCCGGTGGTCCAGTCGTCTACCACATACAACAGGCGCGCGACAAATCCCCCTGTTGTCTCTATCAGACAGTGTTTCTTCCATGTAGGGTGCGATGCGTTGAATCAGGGACCAGTTAACAACACTACACCGCGATGGGTTGTACGGAAATAGTGCGGACCCTCGAGTTTAGCCACCAAGAAATACCGCTGACCGCATGAACTTGTACGAGAACTACTGTACCAAGCACAGCCCGGGAAAATGCAACGTCTTCTGGTCAAAGCCAAGCAGCGGCGTCGTCGAAAGGGAGAACCGCTGAGCCTGGCTGATGGTACGTGATTAGGCTCAGCAAGAATCTACATAGAATGAGGCGAAAGACTTACTCCTCTTGAAACCTAGTAGGGTAAACGCGCCAGGTACGCTATAGTAGGAGTCGGACAGGCCGGTCGATTGATATTCAAGGGTTAGGGGCCGGAACTATAGGTCGGCGCGACGGACTCAGGGCAAATATACCTTATTTCGAGCGTAATAGTAGCAGATAAGCGGACATAGACTAAGGGCAAGGGAAAACAATGCAGGCTGCGCTAAGAGGCTCGGAGGGCTGCAAAGAGGAGGCTAGTTCGCGCTGGCGATTTAGGGGGTAGCGGAGCTCAGTGACCCGGATCAATGGCACAAATGGCGAACCCGCAAGGCGCATGCGAGGAACGGAGAGACAGGAAGAGTAGAAGGCGAAAAACAACTAAAAGTTGAAGCGGCGACGTAGGGGACTTTATAGAAACACGCACAGCGATAGTAACGCGCAGGGAAGCGCTAAACCCAAAACGGCACGCTAAACCATTTTGCGTAATTCACCGTCACCGAATTATACGGAGTACATAGCTGTAAACACCATTCATCAGAAAAAGTCCAACCTCCCCATTCCTTCAACATAACTGATCGACCAGGTTCTGAAACACTAATGTCTTGCAAGTCGGCCTTGTCAGATATAAAGATGGGGCATTCATGGAAGTACTTATGTTGTACATATGGAGATATGCTAACAACATACGGAGTACATACATTCGTCCTTATAGCCTCTCACTATCTACATAATACCCTAGACGAATTTTAAACCCACAACTGTCAGTAAAGACTGCATTTCATTCTATGCTAAGCGGAAATTCAATTCAAAGGTTAGTACGCAGAAATGGAGCAAGGACCATCGAGACAACTCTGTCATGCAAAGATCCCAAAGAATTGAATTAGAAGCAGTCGCAGAAAGAAGAGCAAAGAACAGGAATTCGTCAACGTTGTGCTCATGATATGGGTGCTCGTAATGACTATTCTCGCAGAGTCGTCTTGTTCACATGGCCGAGAACGGAGAAAGAAGAAGAGTGTAAGAAGACTCCATCTCCCCAATGTAGGTCCCCAACGGCAGACAGGGACGAGAAAGAAACAGGACCACCCGCGGTCAATCGAACAGAAGAGAGGAGAAAATTGAGGGAACAAGAAAATAAAGGGAAAAGACGGAAAAGAAATAAAATGGAACATGTAGTATTCATTTCGCATCAGCTGTAATGGTCATGGGCAGATCACTTTGAGTCACGCATGGGAATAATAGCTAGATAGCGAACAAGACATAAAATGAAACTTTTCGGACTGCCAGATCATCGAAGCGAGGACTAGATGTATATCGCAAAATCTAGCCCACGAAAAAGGGAAAGAGATCATGAAACCAAAGGGCAAAAGAGGAAGGGAAGTGGAAAGGAGAATAAAGCTCAATCAGAAAAAGCAATCTACATCCGGCACTGAGGAATGGCGGAAGCAGGTGGTAATTATGAGTGACAAACCTATCCGGGTGTACCGCTCAAGGTAACTCGACCGAGCAGGGCACCCAGGACCGGAATGAACCTCGTCCAGAATTAACCCACCTGCATACCGGTAAATCCAAGGCCCAGGGCAAAAACGGCAGTTGCTTCGGGGTATCGATACGTTTATGCGAATCCACGACCAGTCTGTCCACGACGGTTGTTGCGCTTGTTCACACTGACCGTGCTCCATCCCTCGTCGTCACCGCCAGCACCAGCACCAGCTTCAGGGGCCGGGGCTCTCCAGCCGTTAGCAGACGCCTTCTTGACTTCGACAGGAGCGGCAGCTGTCGTCTCCTCGGTCTCGTTTTCAGTGGTCAACTCGCCATCCTCACTGGCCCGTTGGAGGATCTCAAAGTTGCCACCACCCTTGGGGGTCTCAAGGACATCCCTGCCGTTATGGTCCACGGCAGGGGCTGCCTCCTTAGCCTGCCTTTGCTTCTCGGCAAACTTCTCGGCTTTCTCGGCCTTAGCCTTCTCGGCAGCTTCCTGCTTTTGGCGGATAGCAAGCTGGCGTCTCTCCTCGACCTGACGCTCGCGGGTAGCGGTGTCAATGGGGCGAGCGGCACCGAAGGGGCTGGCCTTGGAGTCGCTGCTGGCTGAGGTGGGAGTGGGGGTAGGGTTCTCTGAGACAGTGCGCTTCGTCAAGTTCAACTTGGGGCGGGTAGCAGAGGCAGCAGGAACGGCAGGCGTGGCGGAGGGAGAGGCGGGGGTGGGCTCTTTGGGGGTTTCGTCGGGGCGCATTCTGGCGCGCCACTGGTTGTCCATATCGGCAGCAGTAGGTGTAGGCTCGGGGCGAACGTGCTCGGGGCGGGGAGGGCGCGAGCCCTCGTCCTGGGAACGTCCCTCACCCCATGCGGCCTCGCTCCTCCGGAAGCTGGAACCAGGTCCGTCGTGGCTGTGCTCTCGGCCACCCTCGCGGGGCGGGCCGGCAGAGGGCGAAAGGGGTCCCTTACGCTCCCAGTTGTTGAAGTCACGAGGCTTTCCGTCAGACTCAAAGTTGCTGCGGCGGCCACCACGGTCGCTGCCCGCATCGGAGCCGGCATCCATGCCACGTCCGAAGCTGGAGCGCTCAGGCGCACGGCGCTGGGGAAGTTCGGGAAGGGGCCCACGCCGGGACCAATCAAGATCCTTGCCCTCCAGGCGAGATTCCTTGGCTAAGTCACCTGTCAGTCGAGATCCTTACAACACCAACCTTCCGCACTTACGAGGCTCCGCAACACTGGTACGGATGGAACGTCCCTGGAAAGACGAGCCTGAGAGATCCAGAGCCTTCTTCAGGCCCTCGACGGTCTCGAACTCGACATACCCGAAACCCTTAGGAGCCTTTGTCAACTTGTCTTCCACGAGACGGACGCTCGTCACGCCACATCCAGAGAAGAACTCAGAGATATCGGCGTCAGTTGCTTCGAAGGAAAGGTTGCCAACATGGCAAGTGTAGGGCGGCTGGGTGGGGAGATCAAGAGGCTCCCGAACGGCATACCCACCACGCTCGCGCTCTAATCATTCAATCTGTCAGAACATGTTCTGTATATTTGACGCGGGAGGCATCATACCAAAGCCGCCAGGGCCGGAGCCGGCGCCGAATCCCGCATCACCCGCGGGGCGACGGTTGAAGGTTGAAGTCAAAGGCTGGGCTGTCCATAGTGTAAGCAAGAGTTTCGATCAACGATAAGCGTGTTTAGGTATCGGGCACACTACATACTGGCTATAAGTTTGGTTAGTACAATTTCGCAGTTTCCATAGCGGGGGTGGGGGATCCGCAACTTACAAGGAAGGGGCATATCCTCCATCTCATCAGCCCAAGAGCCAAGGCCTATCGTCGTCAGTAATCACCTCATATCATCCAATTTTTTTTCGGGTCACACACTTTCATCGGCCAAGAAGGTGCTCATAGACATCTTCTGGGCTTTATTTTTGGGAGCTGATATTCCATCATGTCAGCAATCGCCCATGAATATTTTCGCCGGTCGATGCCCTGGGGAAAATTGAAGGTCTGGAACGAACCCATGATTGCGGTTTGAAGTTGGGGGAAACGCGCCGGGATTTGTGCGCGCTTCTCGGAGAGTAGGCTTGGGAAAAAGGAGAGGTCAAAAGTTCAGAGACACCTGGTGGGAAGGCCAAGAATCAAAATTTGAGTGAAGTAGTTGGGGTGTTCAATATCTGCAAACCCACAGTGGAAAAGTTGGTAGAGGGGAAGTCGGCTGCGGCATGGAAGTGGACGGGTTACTAAAATTTTAGTGATGACGCTAGCCCAATCAGAGCCGCGAGATCTGTCTATACCTCCAAAGCTGGACTGCATCTTCGAATCCATTGGTATTCCAAGAATTGAATGATGTGGGAAGTAATAGGCTCCTGGTGCTTTTGTTTGCTTCAAAAGGAGAAAAATGGGAATGTTCATGGAGTTGATACCTTATCTGTGTACAATTCTTTATACTCGGCTAGAAAGATATTATAAAATATACCTACCCTCCAAGCAGCACGGAGTACACAAATTCATTCCTGTTCCAACCTGATTGGCTAACATTTGTCATCCCAGAATGGGTCGGTTTATGACAGCTTCAATTAACTGTAAGAATTAGCGGTATCACAAGTCCGACTTTGTAGATCATTCCGCATCGGCTCTTAGTCCTATTTGATATACTCCCCGGAGCCTCTGGTATGAAAATAGTACATATGTATTGGTGTGGGCATTTTTGGACAGAGGTTTTTCTATCTTTTCCCACAGGCCAGTATGCAATGCCTAAGAACCTCTACGCACATCGTAGAGATTACCTGCCTTTTGGTAATCTAGCCTTAGTTGCTATATGTATTGATCCTAAAGAGAATGGCGTCTAGCCATAGCAGGTCAAGGACCATGAATTCTAGTAGTACTATGGTTTTAGTCCTGATAACTTGATAAAAGCGCTGACCAAAGGGCACTCTGGTACTTAGACTGTTAAGAAGACCGGAGATATGGCATTCCTAAAGATTGTGCGACTAATATTGGACATCATTTGTATGCTTCATTGGCCTGAATTCTAAATCTTTGTATAACCTGATGCAATAACATTGCAAAGCTAGCTTGAATAGAGATCCGAGCTTTGACGTCAACAATTAAGCCTTCTGGCGTAGTAATAAGCGATTCCTGGAGATTGCACCTCGCGTTAAAGTAGAGATTTGGCTTTTGATCCAGTAGGAATCAATCGCAACAGTTTGAGGGGGAAATAAAGATCGTGGGGTTGGCGGTCTTGCAGGGGATCATCAGCTGGACATGTGCAGTGTGGGGATATATCTGAGAGATCCTCACCCCATTCATCCACCATTCCTCTCCAACATATTTTAACAAAGCCAGTCGGTATAATAGGAAAAACTATAAGACGTATGCAAACTACTCAATTATTTTGATAAAAATTTGAACCTTACTGTTTATGCCCTAATTTGTCCCAGGCTCCAGGGCCCAGGGTGGATGAAGAATTAGATAATCCAGGCACATCAACTCGACACGTGACCATATTCTTTCTGACTTAGATTGCTGCTTCGATCAGTGCTTCGACGAGCGTAACTTACCCCTCCACGACCTTTGAACTCATGCATCTCTTAGTTTGAGCAAAATATGGGCGACCAAATCAATGACGTGCAGGACTTCCAGTCCCACACTCTCCTGTCTGCAGCCAAAGTCGGAGCCCTGAGTGGTTAGTATCTGTTCTTCACAAGATTGCTTGGATACAGACACGACTCCCTGAAGATGGAGTGCTGAATCTTTCAACTAGGAACTGCTGGTCTGATCTATGGAGGAGCCGCTGGAGTCATCAGATCCCCCAATCCCATGATTCATTCATTGTCATGTGGTATCCACTGGTTTGCATGCGGCTCAGCCTTTTGGTGTATGTGAAGACACCCTATGTATATACCGCTGATGTCTAACCTTAATCTTGGGATAGGGCTGCGGAGTAACATCATTAAAAATCACTACCAAGATAAAGCCTCGCCGAGGGAGCGCACGTACGCGAGTGCTTTATGCGGTGGCATTGCTGGCGGAAGTGTAACGAAGTTAATGGGTACCATATCCCGCACCGAAAGCACATCCTGCGGCATCGTGTCTAACCAAATCATATAGGAGGCCGGCTGGTTCCGGGAGCTATCATTTTCTCACTACTCGGCTACTGCGGCCAGGGCGTCTTCAACCGAGTGGACGCATGGCAAATGGAAAATGCACACAAGACATCAAAACCTCTGATGCAGCGAATGGCTGAATCTAAATGGGTCCCACTCCGCACACTATCTGACCAAGAATACAGGGGGATGTTGGGTGAAAAGCTGCTTAGCATCGAGGCTGAGATTGCTCTTCTTGACGATAAGATCCAGGAACTGGAGAAGTCTAGACCAGTCCCTGCTTCAAGCCCAAAGGAAACCTGAAAAGCGGGACACATGATAATAAAGGAAATGTAAATTACTGTATACTATGAAGGGGAGGGAGAGACAAAGAACTCTTAAGAATAATGAATACAACATATAGAGCCCAGGCCTGAAGTTCCCCAAAGCTGACAAAAATGATCTCCCCCCTGAACCTTGGGAATTCTTGGGTCGCGTGTCGATCAACCAGAGCATACATATGAACAACAACTATATAGAAAAATTGTAGGAACATATTGGAATATAAAAGGCTTGACAGTGTAATATATGAAAAAGAAAGTACCAAAAGCTCAGAACACTAACGTAAAAAAAGAAGCCGTTTTGGGAGAAATAACTAGCGTTCCGCTTTTCTTTATGGCCAGTTCCTCCGAGTCCGGTAGCCCACCTCTCTCATTCTCCCTTACCCTTTAGTTCTCCCCCCGGCATGATTCGCCTACACTCATTTTATTCGAATCAGCCAGAAGTGCTCATCCTATTGAGACTTTGATGGACAACGTGGCTGCTGTTCTGGAGTCTGGAATCACTGATTCCAACCAGACGGACAGTAGAGACTCGGGGGATCTAACAGCAGTACAATTGAATCCCGAAATAACCTCAATGTACGAGTCGACACTGCCTGTCTGAGATCAGCCCGCTGCTGATCGCAAAGCGCGATGACCCTCTTTAACCCGACCTCGATTCTCGTGGGATTCTTCCTCCTCTACCTCTCGTCCTTTTTCATCTTCGCTATCGTCCGGATCGCGACGGGAATCTCCATTCAACGGATCGGCTACTTTTCGCTGCGCCGAATCGCGTACACCCCGAGGGAAGGAATACACATTGAAATCCGCGGCCTCGGATTCTCGTTACACCCCTCGTCATTTGCCCAGCCAACATGGATCAGCATTCGGTTGACAGAACTGAAGGTTACCGTGGACTCGACGACGCTGGGGCAAGGAAAACGCGAAGCGCCCCGCGACATATTGGAGACTCTTGGACCCCCTAAACCATCTGAAGACCGCACCGCGCCCGAACCTGGCGGAAGAAGCAAAACATGGAGGACGTTAACACGAATCAAGGAAAGTGTCAAGCGGCTACACCGGCAGATAAATTGGTTGGCTCTCGTGGACTTGACTGCTATCGACACCACCCTTCACTTCGCCAACGCCGGTCAGATCCAGGTTGGATCGCTTTCCCTTTCAGTCGACACGCGGAGTAAGATGGTGGAACGGGGGAAGCTATTTCGTCGCAAGAAGGATATGTCGCGAGACCAACGCCCAGCCGAGTGGATTATGAATGTGAAAAATGTTCTATTCAATGTCGACGGCCGGGAGCCAACCGAGATATTGGATAATGTGGGCGTGAACCTCCATGGACTTCTTCACAAGGATTTGGATGGACTGAGAGACGCCTCGGTGGCCCTTAAGATTGGACGTATGCATATTCCATATGACGATCTCCGCACGATACTGCAGCGCATCAAGCCGGTCAAGTCCGCACAAGGGCCAGGGAATACTGAGACCGATGACGAGATGTCATTTGCCGATTTTGTGGACGAACTCGACAAGCCTGGAAGCAGAGACGATTCCATTGTGCAGACTGTGGCGGACTCAAAGGAGTTTGCAAGCTCATTACTTCGTGGTATACAGGAGATACAGATCGCTCTGAGCTTCTTCCGCATCTCAAAGGGTATCCAGTCTCTGTCTGCAGGACAAAAGCCCGTGTATCTGAACGTGGTATCGCATGAGCTTGGAATTGATCTTCATCGGATGGACCCAAAGAGCCCGGAGCATCGCATGTATTTCCAGCGGAATGATATTGCCCACCAGGCTCTTCTTGCTGCTATCTCTCTTTCAGTCAGCCTAGACGATGAATCGGGCGAGAGTGATGACATTCTATACATCCCCATGGCTACGACAACTATCAAGACGACACTGCCATCGAAGACCGTGAGCGCCTTTGATAATGAGAACGCCGAAGAGCGAAACGCAAATGTCCTGTTCGCAAATTTGGTTGTCACATCACCCTCGGTTGATCTTCAACCGCAGCATGTTTCGAGGCTGCTCGAACTGGCGCAAAGTCGAGCCTCTTCTCCTAGAGCGAAGAAGCGAGATAATCATCGATTGATTTCTCGACTGCTCCCAAAGGCAAGCATCAAGCTTTCTGTTCACGAACCCGTGGTCCGGTTTGTTCTCCCAATCGAGAAAGAGTCTGGTAGTCCCGATGATTACAACCTCCTTATCTCCTCAATCTCCTCCATTTCACTCGATATCGAATCCTCCCATTCATCTGAAGGCGGCGCCCACTATTCTCTATCGTCCATTTACCGGGTCGCCTCCCACAAATTTTATTACCAGACCCCAGCAGGCAACAAACATAATTTGCTTACAAACGAGAGTTTGGAGCTGAAGGCCCACCTGAATGCTACCCCGGAGGTCTGTGTAATCGTCTCGGGGACCCTTAACGAGTGTTCAATCCACATGATTGATGGGGAGGTGAACCGTGGAATCCGCGAAGTTTTGCAGCAATTCATCACGCAGATGCAATCACAGAAGCGGGTAGCAATACCGGCAAATGATCAAAAGGCAAGCGTGTTGAGACGAGTGCCCCCATGGCTACTCCAATTTCAGTTTGAAGCCACAGCGTCCAGCGTCGAAATCGCTGGCGTGGACAGCACCGTCTCTGATATATCTCGCGGTGTCTCTCTGCAACTACAATCGTGGACAGCGGAATACAAAGCTCAGAAAACGGAGAAAAATGTCGGAAGCATTGCTAGGCGACGTACTCCCAGCCATTCCACCATCGGCGATGAATCACCCTTTCGATTTCCCCCAACGTCGCCTCCAAAGGCCACTCACACTCAACGCGGCGCTTCAGATGGCCGGCGACTGGCTCTCCATGCGCGTGGTTTCGATGGCTTTGTCATTGAATCAGAAGATTATCTGGAACCCGAACCATTCTTCACTTTGCCTCGATTCGAGATTGCTTTGAGCACCCACAGTGATCGCCTTGGACCGATCCTGCATGTCACCTCCGTGTTCAAGGGCATCTACCTTCAGTACTCACTGTACCGGTTCTACTGCCTTGGTGTTGCCGTTTCCGTGATCCAAGACGTGCTCACACCCTTGCCGCAAAAGCACTCGCAGTCTGCTGAAAGCAAATCCAAGCCGGCTGCAAGCATATCGCTACCACCGCCTCCGGCCTACAAATGGTCTCCAAAGAAGGAGCTGGTCACATACGACATGAAGGCAACAGTTGTGCAGCTTAAGGCGAACTTGCCGAACGATCCTCAAATAATGATTCAGATCTACGGACTTGCCGGGGCTTCTCAACGTCTCTCCACTCCTTATGTTAAAGCCAACCTTGTTCGCTTCCATGCAGAGGCACCTAAGCTCAAGGGCGTCTGGGCAAGAATCGGCAGTATGAACAATGTCAGGCTGGACTTCCGAAAAATGAAGATGAAACATGGCAACACTTTGGTTGAAGAAAAATCGATTGATATATGGACAGACTTCATCCGAATTGGTGTACCTCATCATATGGTGATGCACCGCATCTTTGATAACCTCATCAACACTTCCAAGGCTTTTAAACAGCTGCATAATCGCTTCAAGAATGGCTGCAGAGAATTTGGCTCCAAGAGAGAACCGGAGGCCCCCAAGAAGGTGCCCAAGATATCTCTTCGCAGCAAAGCGTTGCTCTTCGAGCTGGAGGACGATGGCTTTGAGTGGAAACTGGGCTGCATCTATCGAGTTGGCCTAGCTGAGCAAATTCAGCGGCTGGCTCGGGAAGACGCCTTCGACTTGAAGTCCCACAAAGTCAGGGAATCTGACCAGCGGCGTGCCACATCCCGATTACGAGCCAAGTCGAGCCATCGGACCTTGCGAAGCGAGCGAACTAGCCAAGATACAAGGCGAAGCAGGAGTGCTGATGAACGGCCGAGATCTAGCCCCCAAGAACGTGGGAGAGGTCGGAAATACCGCTATAATACCGATGGCGCGACCTGTCTCTCATCAGAGCAAAAGATCTCTGTGGATGCCGCCTGGGGCCGACTTCAACAGTATAATGCTCAAGTCTGGAAAGAGAAGATTGATGCAGCTCTCATGTTCCAGGGCACTTCTATCAAACAAGTCCGAAATCTCTTTTCTGGTGCCGATGAACCTCCTCCAGATGTAAAGGAGACCGAAACCATTCTTGCCATTCCGAACAGACCGGGTCTGATGTCAGCTCTGATCAGTGATGTCAACCTTGTTATTGACAAGCCCTCATTCCCTATCGATGAGTTCCCGACTTACTTGACCCGGATCGGAAAGGGAATGCCCATATCTATGCAATACGGGCTGGTCATCCCAATGAGCTTCAACCTGGAAATGGGTGAAGCACGCGTCAACTTACGAGATTATCCCCTAGATCTGTTGCACATTCCAGCCCTGCGCCCAGGGCAGTCTCCAAGACTCCCCAGCTGGTCTTTGCGGACAAACTTCGTCATCGCAGAAGAATGGCGTGACCATGAATCGGCAAGGCAGGTCGAAGTGGAACTCGTTCCTGCATCTGAAGGGTCCGACGGGTCTCCCCGGGATGCGTTCAAGATTCACGTATGGCGTTCTGTTACACCAGTTAAGACCTACTCAGACCCTGTCATCAAGATAAACACAAGTTTGCCGACTAGCATTTCATGGGGTGTCTCTTACCAGCCTGTCATTCAAGATATGATGAAGATCATTGAGGGTTTCACCAAACCTGAAATTGATCCCTCGGAGCGGGTGGGCTTCTGGGACAAGATCCGACTCAGTTTTCATTCCCGGATCAAGGTTCTTTGGAAGGAAGACGGCGATGTACATTTGCGGCTTAAGGGCTCTCGTGATCCATATGTGGTGACCGGCTTTGGAAGCGGCTTTGTCATGTGCTGGCGCAGAGATGTCCGATTGGATGTTCACACCAGTGACAATCCCATGGAATTCATGACTGTCACGAGTGGCGAATACGTGCTCGCTATTCCCGACTACAGCGCCGAAGCACGTTGG